TCATCCGGCCCGTTGCCATTACAATACCATCTTTATTTACCCAATAATTTATTGTCTTTATCATACTTACTTCCGTCACCCGTTCGTTACTGTTTGATATCTCAGTATATTCGCACTGTCTCGAGTTGCCTTCAGTGCAATATCGAACACAGCCATTTTGTAACCGCGCGCCGCCTTCAAGACTACAACTGAAAACATTCACACATTGATACAAATGACATAACAAGCAGATCTGATCAGAACCCTGGAAAGTATGGTTGTTGGTGTATAATTTATCTTAGAGACCAGCATATATATACCCAGTGAAAAATTTCGAAGAATTTTTCCATCAGCAAGCCAAAATAGCACGTTTCATAAGCGCATATCCAGGGATCCTGTGGTAACGGTATCCAGCTTAGCTGGTCTCGCACTAATCGTTAGAGCCTGAGCTGCACTACTCGACCGGATATCCACTTACAGCTACTTATCTGCTATTAAGCCAGAAGACCAAACTGAAATAACAAGCAACCGGCCAAAGAAGTGGTAACTCTTCGTCATTTCTACCTGTACACTGACAGTACTGCAAGATTTAATTTAGCATGAGTTCTACCATTAGTTTATTAGGCTTCTCAAGCAAACAAGTAAAAATCTGTAGATAACTATCTGAAGGCAAATTTTCGGGTTAGCATAAGTGTATACCACACGAATGATACTTTAGTTATTGAACTGAACATAACGAAGTGTTGTTTCTAACTGTAATTAGGCTGCTTTTAATGCGTTTATACTTTAATCCATTATTACGAAGAGCAGTCAAATCTCCGTTGGTACTTGACTATTTAGCTATAAAAATAAATCACAAATTTCTCCTTGTCACTGCAAGTATCGGTAATTATTGCTATAATTGGTAGACAAAATTCAATTACGCTATGATAAACGACTTGTACATCGAAGAATTTATCTCTAAACTATACGTTCTATACACATTACGTTATATTCAATAGCAACATTTAAACTTCTCGAGTGGCACAGTGGTTGGGACTCTCGCCGGCCATGCACATGGTCCGAGGTTCGAACCCCTGCCGGCGCACACCCGATATCTATGGTCGGCCTGTAAATTTGGGCTACCGATATCCATGCTGAAAATGCATACTTGTACTGAAAATACGGTGTGGCATCAAGCTGTAATCAAAATAAGTAAAAATAAAAATAAATAAAATTACGGGTAAGAATGTTGTGGAATTAACTAAAATTGCCTAAGAACCGTTATGTTTGAATGTAAATCTTTCGATTATGAGTCAACTAGTTAGTTAGTCCAGTACATTAAATTTCGACTACAGAACACTATTGATGAACTCTTGTAATGATGATATACAGAGATAACATGGGAGTACTGGATAGCTGTTTCATCCTAGTTTGGGACTCTTCAGTGATACGCAGTCACTTGGGTTCGAGCCCAAGTTCTTCCAGTTACAAGACGAGCTCTTTCAGCCCTTGGATACATTCCAATGGCCCATGAATTCCAACTTCTGGTTGTCTAACTGATATCAACTCGTGATCAAACCTGTAACCCAGGAATTCAACACTTGATAATTAATCTGATGCTCACTAGCGACTGGCACCATACAGGAAGTGACCTAGGGTTCTAGTGAGAAGTTGTAACTAGCAGGGTCCATCAAGTCGAACAAGAGGACAGTTACTTGCTTGTGACACTGGCTGGCAGTTGCACTAAATATATATCACAAATTGGCAGAAGTTGGAATTCATGCACCTTACAACCAGAAGGTCCTGGGTTCGAATCACAGTGGGTGCGTACTACTGAGTAATTCTAAACTAGGACTAAACAGCTATCTAGTACTCCCAGGTTTCCTAATGTTTCTCCAACTGACGTCACCTCGTGATCAAAGCTGTAATCGATCAAATCCCTGCAAATACAACAGTTGATAAACATAGGTAAGACATCTTAACAACTATAATCTTCCAACACTTAGAATCAGCACAATGAATAACGTGAGCACACTTCTAACAGACTTCATCATCAAATTGAAGCTTATCATAAACTCTTTGAAACATAATTATTCTAAAGTCTTTATTGATGTGATTAGCCAATTCCAATATATGCAAATGCACAGACACACAAACACACACATATACACAAATACACAATCAGGAAGAGGACACAAACTGAGCGTTGTTTATTACACAATTTCATAATTTTTTATAAACAAGTTAATCAATAATAATAATAATAATACAGTACTCTAAATCATAAATAATAATGAATGTGAAAAGAAATCAAATTAGAAATAGAAACAAATATTAGGAGTTGAGTTGAGTTGAGTTCAAGTGAAGTAAAGTAAAGTAAAGTAATAACAATCGAATAAAAACACCATGTTCAAAAAAATAATGTGTTTACTTACTTCACACTTATTTTAATTTGTTTTTTTTTCTTCCTTCAACACTGAAGACGTATCAAAGAGAGGCGAAGTAAGTAAGTAAGTTAAAATAAAACAAATCAAATCAAACCATAATTAAATTAAATTAAATTAAACTGAAAAATAAAACAGAAGATACCAACAAACAACTCAAAGAAAAGACAAATAAAATCAATAAGAAATAAACTTGGGTCATTCATATCCCTCTCTCTCTCTCTCTCTTGGTTGATGAAATAACAAATTTTAAAAACAATTATCCATCTATCCATCAATTATGTGATTGAATGGTTACACTCTTAGTTTGTTTCACATGTTTGAAGAAAGAAAAAAAAAGGAGGAGAGAAATCCGCCAATGAACACAATTGCGGTAAACAATGTTTCAAAAACACAGTGTTCAACATTTTGTGACGGACAACACTCACAACCAACCGACCAACCACCCACCGAACCACATACCATACTTCAAAATGATCCATATAGTAGAGTATGGTATCATTTGTAATATTATAATACACAGCAAGTTACCCAGTGAGGAAACAGTAAATAAAACAAAGGAACAAGTGACATTAGTGGTAATAATAATAATAATAACAACCATAATCTACAATTTTATTACCACTGCAATTAATTTGTACTTTTTTTCCTTAAATTATCACGAAAAGAACAACAAACGAACACACCACCACCAATAATAATAATAATAACTAGCACCAGCTAGAAGTAATAAAGTCGAGGGGGGGTCGAGAATTGGGAGCGGAACGGAGTGGAGTATGGATGGATGGATGAGCGACTGCGTGGGTGGGTGGATGTTTAGTTTGAAAAGAAAAAGAATAAAATAAAACCAGAATAATCAAGGTAAATGCAAAGCAGCTGTCATCTCTATATGTAATTACGATGATTGAAATAAAATGCAGTATGTATAAAATGACTAGAAGAAGACAGGATGAAATTCAATGTTATAATAAATATATAATATAATAATAACGCGAATAGACTAACAATCAGTCAATTAATATGTGTCAATGTGCAATACATTTATTATTATATACATGAGTCAAGATGAGGATTCTATTCTACCGTTTCTCTCCCTCCTTCCCTCCATCTCTTTCTCTCATTAATCACCTTTACAAGCCAGACAATCACAGAAGAACACTAACCACACACGACCGCCTACGAACTATGCGCATCACATTAAATGCATAATTAATGTTAGTAGACAAGAATGAAAAGATAACAACACACTGTATAATTAGATAAGACAAATAAGAAAATCTGTAATGAAACACAATCATTATTCATCATCATCACCATCACCATCAGATCATACACTATTGCTTCATAATGCAAAACTATACAAAAGAATGGATGAGGGAAAAAAGTCAAAGTATCAAATATAAAGGGAGAGGGATAATAAGTAATAATTATAATAATATTATTATTAGTATTAGTATCTCAAAAAACGAAACATTTCCCTTCTTATACTACTACTTATACAGTTACCACGTGAAAATACTCATATTATGTTGTGTCATGAGAATATGACAAGAAATAAAAAGACCGATAACAATAATAATAATCACAATAATAAATGAGAAGAAAGTATAAGTTTCTACATACTACTACTACTACTACTACTACTACTACTATAATATACTATATACTACTACTAGTACTGTTGCTTTAAAAACAAAGCAGACAGACGAAAGATATCGGGAGACAAAGTGATGCACAAGAAAGGCTACACACAAACAAACCACTTTACTACTATTGTTATGGGCTTATGCAATTGTTAATTAGGAAACTACTACTATTATTATTATTACTACCAGAATCACAACACCGACAACACACCAAAATCACTATTAAATAAAAGAGAGAGAAAAAATTAGTAATTAATAAATCAAAACAAAATAAAATAAGTAAATTACACGAAAATCAGAAAGAAAACTAAGCAGTAGTATGATTAAGTCATTGGACAGAAAGAGAAAGAGAGAGGGACATTATTCTTTGGCGCAATTACTGAAAAAACTCCCAAAATGTGAAGAAATAAAGAATACTGAGCAAAACAATGAAACAAAACCCCAAAATACATAAATATACACACATATATGTATGTATATTAAGCGTTTATTGCACAGGAAACTATAGAGAGTAGAAGATGAAGCATACTTTATATCTACATACACACATACTAGACGTTGTTAATCAACAGCACCAGAAAGAGTCAAAAACAAGGATGTGTATATGTATGTATGCGCAAGTTCTACGAAACTCAGATAAAAGCACTAAACATTATACATATATATATTAGGTGGTCTTCTTTGTATTGAATAAAGTATGAAATGCAAGAAGATTCACATTACTATGAATGTTTAACTTCACACAAGAGAAAACAGAAAATCTTCCACAGTTAAGCATTGTCTACGCACGCAGAGGTTTTCTGTTTTTTTTGCTATTCCATTCAAGCACAAGCCATTCATTCTCCAATGAGGAAAGGACAGATGCACAAAACAGAAAAATTAAAAACATCGACAACAAGGAAAAGAATTCAACCGACGAACAAATACAACATTGTGTCATACATACATACACTATACGGTGAATTGATATACAGTTATTTAATTATAAACACACACACGGGGATTACACAGTAATAATAATGTTGATGATGATAATGATGATTGTAGAAACTAAAGTGGAATGCGGTTTTGGATCAGAAAGCTGCCAGCCTCCACAACTTGTCTTTCCCTTGTATTTTCATGAATCCCTTGATCCTTAGAATCAGAAAACAACTGAAAATGCTCATTTCTTCTATCCATCTATCCATCATCCGAAGAAAAAAGGAGTAAAGGATATTCCTCTAAGAAGAAAATAACCAATTTTTTAAAAAAAGAATCAATTACATTTATTACTGTTATCACTAGCAACACCACCTCCACCATCCTGTGCATTAATCTCTTGATTTCCATCTGTATCACCTGTTTGATCACCGCCTGACTTAGGACCTGTGATAGAGTCAAAAGATGCACCTTGGCCTTTATGATTTGCAGATGGATAGGAAGGCATAGATGCTTGATGGCTTAAACGAGGACGAGGTTGTGATGAACCTTGTGGGGGTGAGTGGGATTTTTGCGGGAAACGATTAGCAGAATGAGGAGGCTGTACATTACTACCAATGCCTACAGTTGATGTGTGTGCGGGTGTAATAGTGGTTGTAGCAGACGGATGACTGTCTGCATTTGATACAGGATCAACAACTCCATACATTTTATGCGCTTTCTTGTTCATATGTGCCATCAGTTCACATGAGATTCGATAACCTTCTAATATTTCTTCTTTCCATTGTGTAATCAATATTTTGTCCTAATATGAAACAAAAAAGTAACAACAGGAATGATACAATTATAGACTATGCAAAACAAATAAATATCATAAATTTACAAAGAATATTGAGCAAAGAATATCCTTTTCCATAAATTCCTCTTCTGGCTCTACAATTATATATATATATATATACATACAGAAAATTCTAGAATAATCATCACTGACAATATTGATATTTTCAAATGCTATCACCTCTTCTGTGTGTATCTACCAATCTGACTGCTCCTATGGAGCCAGTTACATAGGCCATACAATTAGGCATGTTTATCGTCGGATTTCCGGACATCATCCTGCGTGGTTACGTAAACGACAAACAAAATCTATTCATAGCGCTATTCTATCTCATCTTGTGGATACAGAACACAAGATTAGTGTTAACGAGGTTTTCAAAGTCACCTACCGCATACCAACTAATCTCAACTTTACCTTAAGAGTTCGTCTACTATATATTGCTGAGGCTATTGGGATCTACATTAAGAAACCTAACTTATTCAGTCCAGACACTGTCCTCACTTTGGTCAACAAGGTTTTAACGATCCTCAATTTGTTGTGGAAATCTCCTTAATTTTATTTGATATTCTATTTGCTATCACATTTTTATGCTTATTATAACTTAAGTGTCTTTCTTGATCAGTAATTTTATTGATCTTAACAAATCGATAGTATTTAAAAAACACCAATACTGTTAATGACGATTATTCTAGAATATATATAAGATGAATAAAATTAAAGAGCCAGAAGAGGAAATAATCGAAAAAAATATTCTTTGCTCAATTTTTTTCTAAATGTCTGAATGAATATTTTCGCAATATCATAAATGTCTAGAAATGGAAGTTCAAGTGACTGTACACTGCTACAATCAATAACAAGTTTATTGACACGTCGAACGACGTAGACTATAATTCCATTACGCATAAAATTTATTTTGATGAAGTCACACAGTGTTATACAGTAATATTTACTGATGATGGTAGAGCGTGTTGACCACTTCACTTATTTGGGAAGTTGTAGCAGCCAACGCCAACGGGTTGATCGCTGGCGAAATTTCAGAACGGATACAGGGGACTAGTCTCGCATACGCCAGTTTACGCCGTCTCTGGCGTAGACGTGATATCCAACCGGCTGTCGACCAAAGGGTGGGTATACTTCTTAGCAGTCCGCTCCGTCCTCCTTTATGGCTGTGAGCTAGACATGGCCATTCAAAGTGGAAGATACGAAAAGGCCAGCTGTCTTTGATCATAGGTGTCTGCGTTCTATCTCCCATGTGAAGTGGTATAATAGGGTAAGCAATATTGAGGTTAGGCTTCGGTCGAGTGCTAGGTAAGGACAGGAAATCAATCGACGAGGCTGTGAAGCTACATCGACTGAGATGGTTAGGACATGTATTACGTATGCCTGGTCATAGCCTTCGTCGACTGACATGAGATCGGATTGGAAAAGGGCCAGTGGTGGTCAGACCAAAACATGGCTTCATCAGTCAATGAAATCTACAACAGTTAGTTTAGGCCAGCCACGTAGGAAGGTGTAGACTTCCTGCCTGGTTGGGGTCCTCGGGACGGTAAAAACCAATGGAGGCTGGAGACAATCGGTGATATGGCTCAAAATCGTTCTCAGTGGCTGGCGCAGATGCACCCACTCCTTGTGACTTATGATTTCCAATGAAACCATATTTTTCTTCATTATTACTATTCCTTTTGTCTCATATCCCTTTTTACTGTCTCTATTTTGCATTTCTTTTTACTTTCCTCTCTTGCTTTGTGCGCAACATGGAGTGTGGTGACTTGAACTGCTGTACATCGGTGCAAAGTTCTATGTCGAAAACAGACAGACTAGGTTTAAGATGAATACTGATAAGTAATAAAGACAAGTGGTGAGGTAAACAAGCTCAGGCATTTTAGAGATAATGGTTACACACCTGTTCCGTAAAGGTTATTTTGTGATAGATAATAGGTGAGCACCAAAACTTAAAAATTTAAAAAAAAAATACAGGTGCAAAACTCAAACGAAAACAAGATGGTCCACCAAAGTAAGCCCATTAAGACGATTAAATCAAAATCGAAGAACTTACATTTGAAGTTATATACAATCGGGTATCATTTTTCAGTTTAATTGAAATACAATTATCCATTTTACATACACGTGAAAATTCAGGAGAGATTTCTTTAATATCAAGCATTGAAATAAGCTAAAAATGATTATTTGAAATAAAGTAATTGAATATAAATAATTAGAATAAATATTGTTTCAGTGATTCCTTACACGATTAATAATAAAATAAAAAAATACAAATTGACGAATTCCCAAAATGAAAAACAGACAACCATTTCTACTACACAAAGATAACTCTAACTGGAAAATAGGCACTCCAATGATACTACTCCAATTGCTCTAATGATATAACCAACTTTCTTAGTTTAAACAGAATCGGGAGCACTTATTCAGTAGTGTGAAAAACAATTTCTTAAGTCGATCAGTAATATGATTAAAGCCAAAACAAAAATGAAACAGAGCTACCTGCTTTCAAATATATATTACTTACTAGTCACAGCTATTTCTTTGCAAACTTTCAAACTATAAAAAAGCATAGTTTCGAATAACAGTTTTATGTATGTTTAACGATTCAGTTAGTAAGAACAACAGTTATGCAGAATAATATGGTACCATCATTTATATCGTTGGTTTCTCATCAGCTGCTGACAGCCTAAATAAATTATTAAGTTATGATAGAGAAGATTTGTAGCTCAGGTGGATGATTTTGGTGTGGTTGTGTTCTCTGAGCTGGTTAGTTAATTTGCGAAGCTTTCATCACCCTACTAGGTGACACCTTCAGCGCATACTTCAATTTGAAGTGAGCTTTCAGATTTCTCCACGAGTTTATTAATCATCTCTCCCGGTGACCTTGGACGTGATTGGTTGCTTTGTGTGTTTTCACACCTTCTAGGCTACTTGTATTGGAACTGATTGTTTCTTTGACTTGAACTTTGACCCTTTGTGTGTGAGGTTTCTTTTTTATCGGTTGATAAATTTTGTCAATCTCGATGTGTCTATTGAATGATGATTCACTGGAAAGTTGAAGATATCTCATGGACGCCTTCCAAAAGAATGGATATCCACGGAATTTCATCATAAGACATATACCCCCAAGCCAACCTATCAAACCAAAAGTCCCCAAGGAAAGCACAAAGACAATCGCCCTACCATATATAAAGGACATCTCAGAAATCACTACAATACTTTTCAAACCTTTAGGAATTAATGTCGCACACAAACGAACAAAATCACTTCACTCAGTTCTATGTCAACCAAAAGACTCAACAACGAAAAAAGATAAAACCAACATCGTCTACAAAATAAACTGTAACAACAACTCCCCTTCGTCTTCGTATCCACGAACATAAGCTAGCCGTCAAAAGACATGACATCCACTCCCTCATATCACTATATACAGACAATCACGGGCATCAATTCGATTGGGACAATGTTCAAATATTAGGCAGAGGAAACAACAAAAATGCTAGAGGATTGTTAGAAGCTTGACATTCCAGTGAATCATCGATCAATAGACACATCGAGATAGACAAAATTTATCAACCGATAAGAAAGAAACCTCACACACAAAGGGTCAAAGTTCAAGTCAAAGAAACAATCAGTTCCAATACAAGTAGCCTAGAAGGTGTGAAAACACACAAAGCAACCAATCACGTCCAAGGTCACCGGGAGAGATGATTAATAAACTCGTGGAGAAATCTGAAAGCTCACTTCAAATTGAAGTATGCGCTGAAGGTGTCACCTAGTAGGGTGATGAAAGCTTCGCAAATTAACTAACCAGCTCAGAGAACACAACCACACCAAAATAAATAATTAAGTTTATGTACAGAAAAGTTTTAACATACTTGCAAATTTTACATGATGTTAGTTGATAGGAGGTTCCGGAATAAGTGAACAGTGCTCAGAAAATTATGCTTATAATAGTTTTTACCCAGGCAGTTAAACTTTTAACAAAGTCAATGTATGCAGATGAAGATTCAGTCAGTCATAAGAAATTTTTAAAAAGATGGTTGCGGCGAAGAAAATTTTCTTTGTGATGAAGTCATTAACTAGACTGTAGACATTCATGTGTTTACAATAAATGGATGAGAAAGTTCCAGAACTATTTCCGATCAAGGGTCAAATTAATAAAATTACAAAGTGTATTAAACAGGAAGGTCAGATAAACATAGTAGGATTATAATTATTGTAAAAACTAACTTTTTGGGGGCAATTAGGGATTAAAGATGTAGTAATAACAAAATAAGCAGGAAGTTCGGGAAAAAAAACAGTAATGCAGATGGGGATTGAAAAATGTAAAATATAACATAAATAAACAGGAAGATTGCATAAGAAAGGTAATAGGATAATCACTATTGACTTTTTATAATGGCCATGGTAGAGACAGCAGTTGAACGTATGTCTTTCGAATACATAGTGGGTGGGTTTAAAATTTTGGATCACCAGTGCCTCAGCTATGCCAAGACGTCTTGATTTCATTCCATTTAAGAGTTTTGATCGGAAGCCATTTACGGGAAATTTCTGCTTTAGTATCACTTTTAAATTCGAGATTAAGCATTAAGTATCTTTTTGGGAGCGACTCGGAGCTTTTCAGACGCTTTCTTTGTTTTTAGATTCTTGTTTATGAATCTGGGTGTGAAACCATTTCCTATCAAGGTTCTTCGGAGAATTTGCAGTTCTTCGTCAATAAATTCCTTCGTACACATTTTCCGGATCCTCGTGGAAAGAGAGCATACGAGGTTTCTGTTTCTGCCTAGAAGAACACAACTCTGAAAATTGATAAACTCTCCATTCCACGGTGGCTTTTTGTATATGGATCTCCTCAGCGAGTTATCAACATTTCTTCGCAGTCGAACACCTTCATAAGAAATAACCTCAAGTTAATAAACGCAAAACAGTTCAGAGGTAGAAGAAGCACCAAAGTCACCAACAGAGGGAATAATCAAGCATCACTACAAAAATGCGGTTTTTCATGGGTATATACACACTTCCCAAAAACTCGCATAAAAGCGTATTCACATAACAAAAACGTTTGTGTTATAAAAGTAGCTGCAATTTTAGGATACACGGGTGTAGAAGAGCGAAGTATCAAGAATGCTAATTTTTAGCGTTAAAAATAATGAAAAAGGGTTTAAAAAAACTGAACCCAAACTTACATCAACACCTTTTTTAAGAATTAAACCATCTCTGGACTTGTTGTACAGTTCAAGACGATTTGGAAATAATCTCAAGTGTTTCCGCTGCCATGTTTGTAAAAATGGTCCACCTAATTTTAAGACTTCACCTTCAACAATACAATCTGATGCGACACCATCAACAGTAAGACTATCAGATAGTAAATTTCCTCCTGACCCAGTGTTCGAAACTCCACCACTCCCAGAGTTCGACAAGTTTCCAGTACTCGAAGTAACTCCACTGCTTGGAACATCAGCTGTCTGTGTAGAGCGTTGTCGAGCACGAGCTCTTTTAGCATCAATTTTGTCTGCTTCTTGATTTACAAAATCAAATACTGTTTCAGCTATTTCCAATTGCCAACGTTCAGACACAACAAGTGAGAAGTTTTGGTACAATGCTTGATCAGCCTCAGTAAGCTATGGTAAAATTTAAAAAACATCGTACTCTTTGAAAAAATAATCAAAGGAAATGAAATGACCTAAAAAAAACACGCGGTATCTTTATAAAATGACAGAGGAATGGGTTACACAGGGTGATGTGAAATTAATTATGACATAAGTCAGCCTATAACGTCCAGGTATTACTTCATTAATTTAATTAAAAGAGTATGTTTAAAACCTTACGTGAAATTTTTTCCAGCCAATGAACCCTCCGGCAGACAGACTCACAGCTTAAGGATGACCTACCTACCAAACTTTAGGCAACAGTAGCAGATCACGAATATTATCGGGTTCTCTGCTGAGTGTTTCGTCCTAACACGGTAAACCAAACATCGAACCACATTTCGTTAGTGTGGTAGATGAATGAAACTCAGAAAGTGAATATATTCCCGAGTTGGTGTTGAATGCGAGATAAAGCTGCTCGAACGTAATCGCGCCAAAGGTCTTTGCAACGACCAAGAACAGTAGTGTTTGACAAAATGGCAAGCGAATAAAGGAGTAAACAACATGTAATACCCGTCAACTACTTCGGTTTATTGGACAAAATAGTGGTAAAAATCCTGTGATACAAAAAATCATCTCCAAGAAGAATGGAACCTCTTAAAAGAAATGGTTAGAAAGTTTGACGGAACGTTTCGAAGAGCAATTGAATCGGTCTACAGATGAACTACAGTCATTCACCCAATACCTGCATAAATGCGATGTAGACTTCAGTTGTCCAAAAAAAGGCGTGGAAGCAAGAGCAGTCTTTGGTTTGAAATGGGGAAATCAAGCAAATCTTTCTCTGGTAATCACAAAGATAGCGCTTTGACTAACACTGTATCTAAGATTCTAGAATCCACAGTGGGACTGGGAAAAACCAAAACCTAGAAGACCAGGAGGCTTTTAAGCCCAGACGACGGTAAATTGATCACATAAACACCATTAGACAAGTTCCGGAACACAAGCTTTCACATCGGCGTCAAACAGTCGCTATATTTCCTGATTTGAATGCGATATTTGATTCTGTCTACAAAGAGGTACCGTGATAATGTCTTGTTGGTGGTCCCAACTAACGCATTCAACTCAAAATCAAGCATTTCTGTAAGAGCCTGTGGATAGTTGTCGTCGGAAGTGACGCCAACTAGTGCTGTCCGTCAGGTACTTAATTTATTAGAGATGTACTGATGAATATCACCCTAAATAACTCCGATGTTCCAGAGACTGACTTATTGACCTACAGTATGCAGATGATATTTTTCTTTTAAGTAAAAACTGACAAAATCCAGCTTTCTGAATGCCTCTGATAAAATTTTAAGTATATTTAGTATGCAATTCACCCTAGTCACATAAGACTACTCTGCAGAGTTGGTTTGCGCCAACCCTTCCCTAGTTTTAGGATGAGGAGTGAAATAGTTGTATTTTTCGACCACTTCATTTATTTGGGAAGATGTCATCGCTGATGATATCTCAGTACAAATACAGAAGGTTTACTTAGCATTAGACAACTTGGATCATCTTCCACACAAGTGAGATAAAAAGCTACTTATCATTGTGAATTGGTTCGCCCAAAATACTCTACGATCATGAGACATAACCGTAGAAATTGAGAGACATGCAAAGATCAGGAGTCCGACAATAGGTACGTCCGTCCAACCTCCCATCTAGGTGAAGCTTTATGCTCAGAAATAATATGCCTAGGAATAGAGTGTTAGGTAGGTAATGGGAGGAGGTCAGTGGACGAAGCGAATTCGATCGAGAAGACTAGAACATGTGTTTCGGAAGACAAGCCACCACCCCCCTTGACCCGCAATGGTAGCTGATATACGATTAGGTTAAAAAGATATTTGAGGTGATCATACCGAAACAGGGTATCACTCCATGGAGTCTTTAACTATTGGTTTGAGCCATGCAAGTAAGTGTACATTGTCTTGTTTGGGTCCTAAGGATGCTGGGAAACGATTCCCCAAAACCCCTAGTAACATGGCTCTCTCTCTCCCATTTATCGGGTTAATTCGCTTTCCTGTATTCACTCAATGTTCAAAATCATCTCACCTTTATGCCTTTGGTATCCTCTTCATCGAATGAGCCAATATCAAAAGCATCTGCAGCGTTTACTTCACCTCTAGGTGGAATTAATGGTGGTGGATACTTTTGTAAGTAAACTTGTTGCCAATCAATTCCTTTAAAGAATGGATGTTCACGGACTTCCAAAGATCTAAATATAATATATAACAGTAGAAGAGAACAAAAGTTAACCTACAAATAGCACTAGCAAGCAATAAAAGCAATAGAACACCACAACTAAACGCATAAAACAAAGGTACACAGCAAAGAAGCAAGTTTGGTTAGAAAACACACACCATAAACACTAATGTCTTGTCTTTAATGAAGATTTTTTAAAATGACGGTTAGAGTAACAGATGTAGCAAAATTAGCTGTTAAAATAAGAAATAAAATCTAAAACCCAACAAGTCTGGGGAACACAATTTAAAATATTCCAACTAATATTGTGCGAGAATGTGTGTATTGATTACCTGGTGGTATATGAAGCTCTTTGCCCTATATAGGAATGAATACAAAAATCGAAAGAATTCAGTAAGCCAAAAAGAAAAGATATTTTTCTTAGATTTGGAAAGCGATTAAATACGGTGATGATGATGATGATGATGAATAGGCCAATTTTGTTGGACGTGAAATTGATTTTTCAAATCAATTTTTAGAATGACTGCTTATAGGCGTTATTTTTTTTGGCATAGAGAGAAAGATAGCCAATAAATGGATGCATTAAATACATATGGGGAATAATTTACAACTTAGATATATAATATATATATGCTATCCATTGGCCAGGGTAGGTATAAAGAAAAAGTGTACTTTATTGCTGTGTGTATGAGACAGTGTATGAATTACTGACATATTTTTACGGAATAATGAACATACCCACACACATATATACATCTCTGCGATTATCTTCCCTACACACATCTCTTTTAACCGATAAATATTTCTATGCAGTTGTAAAATCCACTAAAAGATCATGAATAAAAAGACTAACTAAATTATTACGAAACACAAAAAAAACGGGATTAATTGCAAAGATTTGCGCGCTTAGCACAGAAATATCTTCATTCAAGTGAATAAACACTTGTGATTATCTTACAGTCAAGAGGAGTTTGCAAAGCATAATGAAAATAAACAATATATATATGCATATCTCATGAATTCTAATGAAACATTGAAACTTATAGCATATAACAAGGAAAAGTATATATAAGCTAATAATCATTCATGCATTCATCATTAACAGTCCCCTGTAGCAGTAATTTCTTTTTTAGCCTAAGGCATTATATGTTACTTGATTAATACAAACCATCAGAAAGCCATACCTATGAATGATTTACATCGCCTTCAAAATACTTCATATCACACTCTCACTATACACACACTAGTTTTTACTTAATTATATTTCCTTTTCTTATTACAATAATATTTTCCACACTCGAATACCAACCATTATTGGTAAAACAAGAAGCATATAACAATCAATCAGTGTGAACGACTTAACAAAAAACTTTTAATAATCAATGAGAATCTTTTTTAAGAGAAGATTCCTAATAGAATTACGGCTGTACTAATAAGCCATCATACAATGTTTAGTTGTAACAGGAAAAAATTATTCATCACACTCCAGTTACATTCATCATAACATTGTGTACTGGCCCCTTAAATTATATATGAACTTATGTATGGATTTTAGAGACACTTGAAGAAGATGACTCATCAATAGAGACGATAATTAGTCACCTAGATAAGTTTATATGCATGGGAACCAGTTTAACACCCAAATCACAGTTACTACTGTTATTAGGAGTTTTGTCTTATTCCAATTGATTTTTTTCTTAAATATACTTTCCCGGTCAATCAATGCACGTTTTATTACATGAAGCTATTCTGATTGGTTGTTCAAGGTCCTTTGTTAAATCGTTAACCTTGACTATCATTCTTTGTTCACCATGGCATTTTATTTGTAAGCTGTTTCAGAGTTTGACAACTTGGAGTGATGTACTACTGATGAACTACTCTCATCTGACCAGCTCTACAAACAAGAGACACGCATGCGTCATAAGTCTTCTCTCTCCACAACAAACCGAGAATTATCAAACAACTTAAAATAATGATGTTCAACTACTGCTTTCAACTTCCACGCTTTAAAACAGAACGACGTAAGGGGAAAACTAATACATACACACACACACACACAAGGATATAAAATGGACAATAAAATTAGAAAAACAAAATAAACTAGTAAAAATGACAAGAAATAAAACGAAATTTAAGAAGAACTTTTCATCATTTGTTGTAGCCAGACATATATATATATATATATATATATACAATAATACAACTTTGGAATGTGACTGAATGTATACTACGTCAATCCTACTGACATTATTGCCAGCTTCTTCATTACTAAAAATGTGATTAAATAGAACATATGGCTGTGGATAGGACTTATAATGCTGTCAGTAAAAACATTATCGAATGACGACTACTAAATGAAAACAAAAGTAAGAAGTGAAAAGGAAACCGGAATTTCTGTGAAAGTGAAATCCACAAATTTAATTTGATGAGACTAATTCAAAACAATGACAGTATAGGATTACAGAAAACTAAGCATCAACGAGAAACACTTGGAGCAGATCACTTCCTTCACTTGTCTAGACAGCATTGTTTCAATCACAAGTGGGCGGAATGGATGAATATGTCAAAATCAGAATCAGAAAGGCAGGATACACTTTCATCAATCTGAAATCAGTTTGGAAATCTTCTGCACTCTGAGGCATAAAGAGCAAGATTCGAATTTTCAACACTAATGTCAAGTCAGTTCTACTATATGGGTCAGAAACTTGGCAAACACGTCACGAAAAGTATTTCCAACAGGTTGCAAGCCTTCATCTACAGCCGCCCTCTGCTTCCATAATCAAGATCAAATAGCCAGAAAGAATTAGCAACAAGAAACTGTGGGAACAAACTAACCAAGAACTTATCACTCAACAAATATGTAGAAGAAAATGGAGGAGACCGTTGAGTCACACTACACTTGACGCAAGCCCTCGAGTGGAACCCAAATGTGAAACGACGAGTGGATAGTCCTAGGGTAACATGGAGATGAGAGATTATGGGTAATCGTGGATTCAACTAAAGAGGATAACAGAAAATAGAATAACGTGGAGATTCGTTTTTGAAGCTGTATGTCCCACTCGGAACCAAGGGGAACAATAAATATAATAAAAGCATAAATAAGGTGTGAAGTATAAATCTTTAGGCATCCTAGGGCTCGAAGTACGTGAATATCTATTTCAACAACGGGAATATATTTGCTTTTCAAATAACACTTTTTGAAAAAACCAAGAAGTAAACAAGTTGTCTAAAACTGTGTATTGTTAAGTTAATAAAATGACCTACCCACGCCCCATACATCCCAAACGGTTGCATACGTCACGTGCCAGTAAACCTTCTAGAAGTGATCGCATTTCACAAGACATACCATCAGGAATATCAAGGCTCTAAAAAAAGTGAAACACACTGATGTTACAAAAAAGGTTGAGTTGCAAACAATATCATATGAAAATGGTGCTACCACTGCGTTAATCCTTACACTAGTCAATTTATAAAGAAAAAATTACAGCTAAGGATGCACTTGTTTCTATTGACTGATCAGAGAAAACGGACATAATGGACCAAAACCCGTTGATATCTTTATTAATATACACAGTGTAAGGTGTATTTAGCTTTACCTAAAACAATATTAAGTAGTGCTACCAAGAGAAAAGCATGAGTGGGAGGAATCTAAAGCCAAACAGCCCTTTCACTTATCTAGCTAGGCACGGATGAGGATGTCAATGGAGGGAGTGGAAAAGCAAGACAGATCCTCACAGACAGACACATCACGAGCAACAAAATCTGCATTAACACTACTGTCACATCAATCAGTGCTTCTATATGGTTCACAGACTTAGTACGTGCGTCACAAGAAGCATTTCCAACAGGTTGCAGACTTTCATCTACAACTACCTTCACTCTATTACTGAACATCAAATGGTCAGCCAGAAAGCATTAGCAACAAGACACTATGGGAACAAAGCAGCCAAGAAGCAATCGCTCAAAAAATAAGTCGAAGGAAATGGAGATGGATTCGCCATACGCTGGGGAGACCGCTGAGTGACACTACAGGTGCTGCAAGCCCTCAAGTGTATCCCGAATGGGAAACAACAAACCGGAATTCGAGGGTAACATGGAAGAGATCGTGGTGAAGAGAAAATTAAAACGTATGGGCAACCATACAGCCAGTCAAAAAAGACTGCAGAAAACATAGTAAAGTGGAGATTTGCTTCTGAAGCGATATATTCCTCTGGGACCCCAGGAGAATAATCATAATCGGAGAAAAAACTAACGCAAGAACTGATAAACATAACGCCCGATATTATATATGGGTCACCCAGATCTATTGAATAATGTTACCTACAAAATCAAGGAAGAGAGAATAATGGGTGAAATAAAAAAATAAGCGTTGCGTGACTATCTTGAATACACGTAATAATCGGAATCCCAAACATAGTATTGTATCAGATAGACTTTATCAAGCAAACACCGGATACACTGTCATTTTGAGCATAAAATTTCCTCTTAAACAATAGGTTACCTAAGATATTCGCTAAATTCATTCACAGTATTATGTTAAATGATATATACTATGGTTAACTCAAAAAGAAATAAAATTATTACAAGTTCATTTCAGTCGCTTGCAATTGCTATTCACCAAAGAATAAACAACAGAGGGATATGTGCATACTTCAATTCAGCAAGATAATCAGCAACATAACATAAACTACATGATTCCCAGCCTTGCAAATAATCAAGACTACTGTGAAACAAACTGTGTTTATAAGTGTAGGAGACAAAGGTGCACTATTTTACCTATGTAAAGCAATCAGCTATAGAGCCAATAGCAACTTTCAACATTTCGATGAGTTTTAATCCTATGAGTTTGTTTAATTCACATCCTCAGTTGTACTATGTGCATATATATCATTAACATCAACTTCTCAATTATTCAGAACTGTTAGCAATTGTGCGTCGGTGGCACAGTGGTTAGGACGCTCGCCGACCATGCACATGGTCAGGGGATCGATCCCCGGCAGACGCATTCCTTTACCTCACTAAGCCAGTAATAAAGCTGGTAGAGAGGAAAGGTTGGGCATGAGGCTAGCAACCCCATCCTGTAAAATTAAACACTACTCCCGAAACTTCAAGCCTCTAGCTTGAAGCCCTATGTTCTATTGGAACGTGAAGAAATAAAAATTAGCAAATAATTAACAGATTTATCTCATAACATGAATTACTTACCATGGTCATAGTCATTCTGTCAATTTCGTGTTTATCCTTTGTTTTATGATGTCTGAATGGACTGTGACCTCTTAACAGTTTATACAGCATACAACCGAGTGAAAACCAATCAGCAGAAGAGTCATACGGGCAGCCTTTCTGTAGTACTTCAGGAGCCATGTAACCGTGTGTACCAACACTAGCATGAGGTTTACGACGTGAAAAATCACATGCTAATCCCAAGTCACTAATTCGAACATGGCCGTATTCATCCAAAAGTATGTTAGCTGGCTATTATGAAAGAAAGGAAGCAAACAAACAACAAATCTCAGTGGAGATAAACCAACAAAACATCAATAATGTTTGGTAATAAACAATCAATAAGATGCTGTCATTATACAACATATCGCCGACGAAATCTTACCACAGAAACAGAATGTTCATGTGCTACTTGTCAGTTTACATCATCTCTGATGCAGACGTGATATTCGGCTACCGATCAAAGGATGTGTGTACTGCGTAGCAGTTCGCTCTTTTGTTAAACGTGACTGTTGAAAGCAGTAGACATGGAGATACTACCAATCTTGCGTCCTACACCCCATGTTGAATGGTAAAATATGGTGAGTAATATTCAGGCTAGATAAGCAGTGCAAGTTGGGAAATTACATTCATGGAGGTGGCTGAGACAGGTATCAAGCATGTCAATCCCTCGCCTTCCTCGACAAGCAGTGTTAGTTGACATAAGATTAGGTTGAAAACAATTAGGGATGGTCAAATCAGAACGTGCCATCAATCCATGAAGTCTTTGACAGTTGATTTAAACCACGTAGGGAGGTGTAAACTATCTGGTTGTAGTCCTCAGGATGTTAAGGATCAATGACTTGCAACTGTTGATGATAAGGATTAAAATCGTTCTCGATGATGCGCAAATGCATTCACTCTTCATAGTCTCCCAAATCCACAAAGTCTCCATGTTTCTTCATGTGGTTATTCTTTCTTCCGTACATTACCGCTTATTATAGTACCTTTGAATTCCTTTTTTCCTATGTGTGCTACATGAAGTGCGGCAGCTTGAACTGCTGCACACCTGTGCAAAGTTTTATGTTAAGACTCAGTCAGTGTCACAAACTCTCAGTATTTTTATTACACATCTATCTGACAGGAAGGCTCTCTTACCCTTCACTTTCACAGTGGAACTAAGATAACTATTTGTGTACAGGAACACATAAGTCATGATTTCCCCTACAGTTAAACAGGATCGCTAAATCATAACGTAGTCCCACATTTATAGTGTGGTCACACAGTGATCATCCTTCTAGTCCACATTTAATAGTCACACATAATGGATAATACCACTCCTGAAAACAACAAAGGTGCGACAACCTACATTTGTCACACTTTTATTTAGTAAACGAACGCTTTAAAGTTAAACAGACTAATTGTAGTAGAACGAACACAGCCATTACTGCTTTAATAATACAACGGTTTCAAGTACAACAAACGGTCTATTTCTTAGGGGATTAGGAAATTCCTATAAACGTAATGTAACCAATAAGATGAACAACCTCATCACATGCGGGAAGTAGAAGTTACCATAAATAATCTCCAAAAACCAATGAAAAGTTGTACGTAAAACACATAAATCAACTTTATAAATGTGAAGTAGTTTATTAGCCTAATAATTATTAAGACAAAGTGTATGAGGTATACTGCGCTAACAAGAAGACATTATGATGCAGCAATAGGGAAATATTTCGCTCTTCTAATATTTTCCTTTCGATTAATTATTATTGTTGTTCCCTTGGATTTCGAATGGAACATATGGCTACAACAGCACATATCCACTTCGTCCTATTCACTGAGGTTCTCTTCAACTGGCCCACCGACTGTCCAGTCGTTCATCTCTTCAAACAATCTCCTCCATGTCACCCTCGGAGGTCCCACTCGAGGGCCTGGCGCGTGATATCATTCGACGGTCTTCTCAAAGTGTGTCCGATCTATATTCATTTTCTTCAGCATATTTGCCGAGCAATAAGTTCTTGATTGGTCCTTACCCACAGTTTCCTGGTGTTAATTCTTTCTGGCCATTCATCTGATCTTCAATATAGAGCCAGAGAAGGCAGCTGTTGATAAGTCTATAGTAGCCTGTAGGAAAATGCTTTTTGTGACCTACACACCAAGTCTCTGACACGTATAGAAGAATTGACTGGATCAACATTAGCGTTGAAAATCTACATCTTGTTGTTTATTCTGAGTACAAAAATTTTCCGAACCGAGTTCAGATTGATGGAGGTCTACCTTGCCTTTCCGATTCTACTTTTGACATCCTTATCCGTGCCATCCACCTGTAGTGGAAACGATGACGTCTGCATAAGTGAATGAAGTTACCTCTTTCAAATTTATTCCGTTGATAGTGATTGGTGCTTTTTTTCTTATATCTTCATCACTTCTGTCTTCTCTATGCTCATTTGAAGTCCTGTCTTTACTTCTTCTTCTTCTTCTATTAAGTCTTTAGTGTGTAAAAGAAAGTAATGCGAAGGAAAAACACTTTCTCTCTGTTCATTTCATGATACTGGTTTCTTGTGAACACATTTCATTCAACATTATGTACATCAAAACAGTGAACTAAGCATAAAGCTAAACAATAAACAGTCATGACGACATTACTAAAAATCTATTTCATTTTGAACAATCAACTGATCAACTAATTTACTTTGTGTTATTTCAATGTTCACATGTGACTAATCAAACAAAACAAAATATGAAGAAAGACATATATGACGGTGTTGTTTAATAAATTCTATTTATGTCAGTTAATGTGATTCCCACGACTAGTGTAATTGCGTAATTCAAAATGAAAAAAGAAAGAAGAAAAATCAGACATTTCAAAGAGAACGACAACAACAACAACACCAGATGCCTAATTCTTCACGCTTACGTAATCATATATATATATTTCTGTTGACTATATTACTATTACTGTCGATATCAACTATAAATAAGGCTTCAGTGTACTGAACAATACACACCCCGTTTGAAAACTGTAAAATTTTGGTTATCCTATGACTAACTACCACATTAGTGCATGCATATGTATATAGAAAAGAAATACACGAGTAAAACGTTATTCACCCTCAGATATTTCTATTTTGCTTCGATTATTCCATTAGGAGGAGGAAGTAATCATTAGTTTTTCATAAAAATCAATGATTACATACTGCCTACAAGAAGGCTGGCTGGCTACGTACGTGTACGTGTACGTGGAGAGGGGAAAGAAAATAGGTAACCAAAACAGTAAAAATGTTTTGACTTGTGTTTTTCTTTTGTCATGACAAAAAAAACTTGTAAAATACACAATGAACAAGAGATAATGCAAAAGGGAGAGAGAGAGAGAGCGAGAAAATCGCTTACCTTTAAATCTCGATATACAACAAATCTATTATGCATATGCTCCAAACCAAGTATAACTTCAGCTGCATAAAAACGTACTTCTGATTCAGAGAAGATATTATGCTGTGTAAGATGATAGTGTAGATCACCACCATTCATTAAATCTAATATAAAGCATAACTTTTCTGGAGTTTGAAAGGCATACGTCATACAGACTATAAAAGGACAACCATCCTATTTGAGAGAAAAAAGAACACATTGTAATGAGAGTATCACAACACTAGTTAAATACAAAAAAAGGATTTAACTTTGATCACGGATTGATATCAGTTAGGTGACCCCTGAAAACCAGGGAGTACTGGACAGCTGTTTTGTCCTAGCTTGGGACTCATCATCAGTACGCACCCACTGGGTTTCGAATCCAGGACCTACAAGTTACAAGGCAGGCTCATAAACCATTCAGTAACTGGGATCCGCCTCAATGACCAGCCCATGAATTCCAACTTTCACCAATTCTTGATTTTAGTGCCGCGCACCAGCCAATGTCATGGCGAGTATCTGTTCTCATATTCGACCGGGTGGACCCCACTGGTGACGACTTCTCACTAAAACTTCAGGCAACTTCATCCTGCAGCCAGTCACCAGCAAGTATTAGGTTACTTTTCAAGAGTTTGTTTGTTTTTTACTTGTTTCAATTCTGATCACTGATAGCGTACCACCGATGAGTCCCAGATTAGGACGAAAATGCTCTCCGGCACCCTCTGGTTCTCAATGGTTCTATAACTGACATTAATCCGTGATCAAACTTGAAACAAACCAAGTTCCCACAGAAAAACTCTTGAAAAAAGGTTTTATTGGCTTACAACTTTGTTAAAAGTGAAAAAATATTGGGTTACGGTGTACACTGGTATGAAGACAATGAAAGTATGTAGGTCAGTCAAGACTACAAACGTTTATGTATATCTATATCTGCATGGATTGGGGTGTGCTGGGGGAATACAATGTCATATCCTCCTCGAAAAGTAGCAAATATCTAGACAAAAACAAACATAGTCTCATTTGCATCCATTCACAGTTAGTTGATAAAAGTAACAAAGTTCGTAACACATTTATGTTTATAAGGTAATGTATGTTGTGTTATATTATTCGTCAGCCACATATGAAAACAATTGTCTGGGAGATTCATAGTTCATGGTAAGATATCAGAAACATTTTCTTTTAGAAAGTCAAATATTCATGCCACTAATAACAATTTGGATAACCTAGATATCACTAAGGCACCATATTTAGTTAGTATACAGAAGAACGATAGTCAAATAAAAAACTGATCAGCCTACCAATACGCCGACTGATAACAAGAATAACTTGCACTTTGGTGTCTTAGTTCAATTTTAAAAAATGATACACTTACAGAAAAGAGGAAATTCAGTAACAGTTTACCTAATCTATCTATGCTAAAATTGCAAATATAGGAAAGTATGAACAAATATTTGCAATACATTTCTCTATTCCTGTTAAATATAAATTGCATATAAACGAAATTTACGGTAGTATACATTGTTAAGAAGCCGTATTCACTTCTTTACTAAAACAACTGCTGAAACCACAGAGTACAAGAAATCTGTGTGTACATGAAATCTGCCACCAATCAAACTGATAGGATTTGAACACCTCTTACAACCGTTGATAAAGGCAAGGGGATTGTTGGTAAACCAACAGGTTAATAATCACCAGCAAAACAATATTCTGAAGTGTAACCATAGGAGGCCAATCATGTTCTGACCAAATTGCAACTCTACGCATCATCATCGAACAAAGCATGGAATGGCAATCAAACCTCTACCTCAACTTTATAGACTTTGAGAAGGCCTTCACGAGACAGCGTTGACCGCGAAGTAATTTGGAAACTACTCAAGTACTATGGCGTACTCCAAATATTCATCAACCTTATTCAACAGCTGTACGACAACGGCACATGTCAAGTGATCCACAACGGAAAACTCAGCGAGACGTTTGGAGTAAACACAGGAGTCAGACAAGGGTGCTTATTATCACCAATGATATTCCTAATTGTGGTGGACTGGATTATGTGTCAGACAGTGGGAAACGAGAAGACAGGGATATCCTGGACCGACGTGAAGAACCTAGAAGACCTGGATTTCGCGCGTGGATGATTTATGTTTGATGTCACACAAAATCGAAGACTTACAAGCGAAAACCGACAAACTGGTCGAATAGGCTGGCAGCAAAGACAGGACTCCAGGTGAACATAGACAAGACGGAGGTTATGAAAATAACCAACCAACAACAGCAGCAACATCCAGCGCCAATCACCATCAACGGGAGGGATTTGAAAGAGGTTACTTCATTCACTTATCTAGGGAGCATTGTCTCAACTATAGGAGGAACGGACGAGGATGTCAAATCGAGAATCGGGAAGACGAGAAACACATTCATCAACCTGAAACCAATCTGGAAATCTTCGTCACTCAGCATCAACAACAAAATTCGGATTTTCAATACAAACGTCAAGTCAGTCAGTTCTTCTATACGGATCAGAAACTTAGCGGGTCACAAAGAATATTTCCAACAGCCTGTTGCAGACCTTTATCAACAACTGTCTTCCCTCTGTACTGAAGATCAGATGGCCGGAAAGAATCACCAACAAGAAACTATGGGAACAAACAAAACAAGAACCAATCGCTCAATAAATATGCAGAAGAAAGTGGAGATGGATTGGACACTCGCTGAGGAGGCCGCTGGGTGACATCGCGCGTCAGGCCCTTGCTCAAGTGGAACCCGAAAGGGAAGCGGCGAGTGGGACGTCCAAGGGTGACATGGAGGAGATCGTGTGAAGAGGAGTTGAAACAGTATGGACTATCATGGATGCAGGTGAAAAGTACAGAAGAAGATAGAAGCAAGTGGAGATGTGCAGTTGAAGCCCTATGTTCCACTAGGAACCCAAGGGAACAATAATAATAATAGTAACCATAGGAATGGGATAGAAGGAACAATAAACCGAGAAAATTTAATTTAAATGGTTGCATGCGATTTTAAAACGACGAAATTGTTATTTAAAATCTACTAGTTTTTTGACAAATCTGTATTATTCATACAGTCAACTTAGAAAACTGCATAAACAATCACGAATATCTGAAGTGATATTGGAAAGCTCTACGTCGCAACCATGGATATAGTTATGCCAACTCAAAATTTCCTAAACGCCATACTAGAAACCACACTGATTTCATTCTTTCATATGTTCCAGAAATGAAGAGAAATACAGCACAACGGTCCTCTGAGTTATCTGAGTTGAGATTTGATGAACACTAAGTAAGCATTCATCGACTATGTCACTATGGTTACAGAGAAGCGCACACAAACCATCCATTGACATTTGATGTAAAGTCTTAAAGCTACAGAAGTACAAAGCAAATTTTCAGAAGGTCCTACTAAAAGTGTGTTCAATCATTTTTGTCAGTAACTCCGATCTTCTTAACAACTGGAGACCTTGTCTGTTAGGTCGAAATTCTGAGACGTGGACCAATACATAGATAATAGGCTCCATTCATATGTTGAGTGTGACAATTTGATCAATCGAACTAGTGACCTTGTTTTGAATTTATAAAAGACTGGTATTTCAAAATAATCAAAGCAACTGACCAATTTATACCCTATCCTCTAACCTAGTTCTGTTCAAATCACTTCATCGATATCGCCTTGCATTTTACAATTCTTAAAGGTATATTATTGAGTGTTTACTTGAGACCAACCGTCAGGCCCTGTAGTTTCACACCATTCTCGTTTTGAAACATACTTAACAATCTCACCATGAGACGGAATATTGACATCTACATTGATATTAGCACTCACAGTAAAAGACGATGGACACATGCAGCATTGTATCCCTCAGATCAGTTTCTCCTACATATCCGAGTAATTAATGAATGTTGCTCAGTGATGAAGGCGTTTTTCACTCCCTTCACCTTTAGAACCTATCGAATACCACGTAATGTACTAGGGCAGAGTAGAAATTCAATAAGGTACTCCACACACTGAGACAAATTCCTACTAAATTACTCTTACAACAGCTTATATCAACACTATCTACTTGTGTTAACAGTTGACTTGATGACAGAAGTTACCAAAACGAAAATACTGGAAGACATTTATAACCCAGATTATGAGAGGAACGAATCAAAGTCCCTTCTCTTCCATCAGTTATACAAACTTTAAAGGGAAATATGGACCAAAAACACAACACAATCTTCTAATTAAAAACTTACTCCTGTACTGACAAGTGAGAGCATGACACGCTCATTAAGAGCCAAAGTCTCTCCACCCTTCATTTTGATTCTTTTCTTATCCAAGCATTTCATAGCATACCTATATTAAAGAGAAATATTCGTTTGGGTAGTTAACAATGTCTATATATTTCGGTTTACCACTCAGTTGACACTTTTGATAATAGCCTTGTAAAATATGAATAAACCTTTTTTTATTCCTTCACGTTCCCAGTGGAACATAGGGCTTCAAGCTAGAGGCTTGAAGTTTCCGTAGCAGTGTTTATTTTTACAGGATGGGGTTGCCCAACCTTTCCTCTTCACCAGCTTTTATTCTGGCTTAGCAGGTAAAGGAGTGCGCCGGCCGGGGATCGAACCCCGGACCATGTGCATGGTCGGCGAGCCTCCTAACTGCTATGCCACCGACGCACTATGAATAAACCCACAATACCAATATATAGAGAGTCAGACTTCAATATGCTCATCTCTAGTTGGGGCTACAATGTCTCTTCACTTCTGTTCACTACAGAACTAGACAAGAGTCGATATTTATTAGTGAATTTATTTTCTAAAATTTTTCCAGATATTCCTATTTCTTAATCACAGCTGTGAACAGATTTTTTTTTACTTTTATTATCTTCGTCTTATTCATTCTAATTAACAATATTCTACATGAAGTAATATCTACAAAATGAACTCAGATATGGGCTTTCTGCGTAGAACTTCAAATATAGTCGAATTAAATTCACTGAAACTACTTTTTTTACACTCACTCTCGCTATGAATCCAGTCTATACAGATAAAAGAAAAAGAGAATATGGGACTTTATGTATGTTTATAGTGCTTCATAAAACAAGGATATCTGAACCACAAAATAAAATGACTCAAAATCATTCTCAGTGGTAAGTACAGATGTTTTCACTCCTTCTTCAATATGCATAATCCTATGATCATCCTCATTAGTTTCCATTTCAATAATTATTTTCTCTTTCTCTCTCTCTCATTTACATTATCATCCGTTGTACTTCCATTGCATTTATTTTCTGTACTTTTATAAGTGCTTTAACAAAGTGTGACAGCTATGGATTGCTGAACTCTCGTGCAAAGCTCTATGTAGATAAGTCAATCGATGGATTTCAGTACGTGGTTATAGAGGCATTATATCCACAGTAGGCGTCAAAAAAAGCTTTTTTAATATATCAAGAAATAGTGAATATAACGTATCCTATACATGAAACGGTAAAAGAAACATGAATTACACCAAAACTAATGAATAAATAGCACTACAATAGAAGAAATACACCTGTCCAAATGTTTTGCATTTCAGCAAAAAGCTACGGTTTCCTCAAACACGTGCTTGCTATTTTCACCTTTTGAGGAGACGATAAGGTATCACAGTTTACTACTAACAGGTACAGAAACTTTATACAGGAAAATACAATCATTATGTTAATTTAGTTGTCAGATATATCATACAACGAAACAGTAACACTAACTAAATTATACTTCGAACCCTATCTATTGTGAAGAAACTCTACAGTCTTTAGGTGTCTGTTACACCCCTAAACGTTTCCTTCACATGAAGTGCAGAATATTTTAAATATCTTTTTTCCAAGTGTCGAATTGTCTCCCCTTCAGCTACTAATTTTAAGTGCTTTCATTTTGATTTGTCTTATTGTGTCTGTGTATGTGCAGATACGACTACGTCTTTTGCTGGACTCTGTACCCTACCCTACTAATGATAACTTTTAATTAGCTCAGATTTTATATACACACGTCCTTTATATCACAAAATAGTGAGAGACTTGAACTGTAAAAAACCAACCTTCTAAAACAGCATTTAACAGTGAACAACAAAGTGCGTTCAAAATGTTATTCAATCTGTATTTTATCATTATGTAAAGTACTCAACAAACCATCACAAAAGTATGCCATCACATCCAATTCCTACTACCTATATAGTACCTAATATGTCGGTGGTTCAGCGGTAGAATGCTCGCCAACCACACACACACATGGTTCGAGTTCGATTCTTGACTAACTGTAAGAGCGGAGGTTGGGTTTCGGGCTAGCTAAATGGACTTCAAAGCCCAAGTCTGGAGTCCTAGCTTCCCATTCAACACGCCAAGGAATGAAACCAAAGAATAGTACTTCCTGTATGAAACACCACACCAACGTCTAACCGGAGTCAAGAAGTTTAACAACTGTAGAAGTTCACCAAAATTCTGTTTGTTATTTCAGTTATTCAGAAACAATGAAATAGTGTTTGGACTTTTTTAGCATACATCACTAACATTATTGTCGTGTTTTTATATCAAGCAGTTTTGTAGTCCTAGAGTACCTGCCTCACTTTACTAATTCTTCGGTAACACAAAGCAAAATTTTAAATAACAGATACTTACATTTTACCTGTGTCTGCTTTTCGACATCCATAAACTTCACCAAAACCACCACGTCCAATGATACGATGTACACTGAAATCATTAGTAGTCAGCTAATACAATTTAATAATAAAGTAAGATTATTTAGTTTTGAATAGGAACATACATTAATGTTTAATTCCAAATTCTTCCATTGACAAAATCGTGTGAATTTTTGACTATAAGATAGAGAAGGGTAAAAAGAAATATCTTTAAAAAAATTTGTGAACTTGCCTTCGAAGAAAGTTTTCAAATACATCACCACGAAGAGATTGAAGAATTTCATCTATATATAACTAAAAGGAATAAATATGAATAATCTGGGGGAAAAAAAGTAAACTCTTACAGAAAAAGTATCTGGTGGTAGCTTTTTAGTTTTCTGAGATAAAGTAAGCAATTCATGAACATGATCCACAGTGGATTTAGAGAATTTCTGTCAAAAGTGGGATAAAATATTAATTAGCTAAACCAATTATGCGTACATGATTATGCGACAACAATTCTTTCATAATATGCTGATCATATATTTCTCGACCAAGTTTTATGCGTTCTTCATCTGTCTCCAACTTTTCAAACTTTTTTATCTATAATTTATGAAAGTAAGCCATATAAAAAACAACAGCCTTGTTACTTACATTTTCGTAAAACGTCAACTGAGGCACAGGTTCTTCACTTACATTGAGCGCAAAATCTCTGAATAATAAGTAACCTTATGGAAAAATATTAGCTTTAAAACAATTCATAGATAAGAGACATACCTAATTTCTCATTGAAAATTTTATCAAAAGTGATTTGATTATTCTTCTCCAGGTATTTGGTCATGATGCCACGGATACTGTAAATATTTTTAGAAAAAAAGTAATTTGTTGAGAGATACAACGGTGCAAAGTCAGATATCGAAATGCTTCCTCTCATAAGTTTACTATTACTTTGAAGAAGTGATATCAGATTAAATGACTTCACAAACTACGATCTCTACCAAACGTTTTGGCGTTAACCTCAGTATCAAGAAACGCCCTAGACAGCAATTAAGGTTGCGCTGATACCGCTGTTTAGTTGAATACGATAGTCGAAAATTGGTTTAATATAATTAGACTAAACGTTTGCATACTTTTGATTTACAAGTAGTTATATGCGAAGAAATCATATTAACATCTATTTTACCTTTCCAATTCTAGTCGTGTAAACAGACATTGAAAAACCGAAATATATTATGGACAAGATAGTCGCACAATTGGTTAGTTAGTCAGAACTCAGCCCGGTATCGGACTAGGAACCACACTTATTATGTGAAGTAGGTGGAGCAACATTCGAACCCAAGATCCATTAGTTGGAAATGGGGTGTTTAAGCCAATGAGCCAAATCTCCGCACACATTTTTCTTTACAGTTTTTCAGCTAAGCTCTACGTATATTAGTTAAGAAGTGACTAACTGAATAAAGTTCTAAACACAATAAACAACCAAGGATACACTCGTTTAACAAGGTCAACTTTTAGTTAGTTCGTAACATCTTTAATTTTCGGACGAATACGATGTACATTCAACCAATATACAACACATGACGTAAGACTGTGCGCGTAGATCATTTTCGAGAACAAGACACCACCAGCTTAGAAACAAACTGAACAGACTGAATAATATAAATATAACGATCAGATTCACTATTAAACACAGATATCAACATCAGATTATGAACACACTGACGGGTATTCTCTCAGAATGTTACGCGGTATTGGAGAAAGGACCGAAAACACAACTTGACAACTCATAAAACCAATTCAGATCACATCTCAGATATGTCTGAAGGTTAAATTTTCTTCGCATACAGAGATATTTAGACTTTCTATAAGAACTAACCAACTGGTCTGGCTATGACGGGCTAAACCATGCACTTACATCTCAAGAAATCTATCCACACTAATTTATTTCTTTAATTTTGAACTAATAACGACATATTTCTTCATGAACTTCGTTTGTGATTCTAATAAACTTTCTAAAAGAAACAGGTTTCAGGAAACATAACTAGAAAGTTTAGTTGGAAACTTCTAAGGATAATTAGCCAATAACCTACCAAGATAAGTGATATAATGGAACACATATCTATAGTTCATACAAGATATCACAATTGAATGTCTTCAGTCACTGATACTACTCAAAAGGAAAGCAAAATCCTCCCAGTTTACGAACAAACACTAAACTCTTTGTCTGTCTGCTTATCGATTACGGATGCTGCTGATGAACCAAGACATATGTTTAACTCATTTTCACATGCTTTTGGTGTTAGATATGACAACATGACGAGCTTACCAGTGGGAACATAATTTTCTGCTCAGAAAAATAATACTTATAAAGTGTCCAAAAAACTTCGTATTCACTCTTACACCTGTTCTAGACAAGTGTTTAAATACCTAAGATCTTTTCACTTAAAATTATACTGTCAATTAAATGCTTACTAAAAGTTCTATGACGTCGGCGAAACACATGGTGTATGTTAAATATTTTTGTGCATCTTTTAAATCATTGGAGATAACGAATGCTTATTTTGAAAATGTTACAGAACATTCCAAATTATATCTGCATACCTGAAGATGACCCGCACCTATTTTGTGACGGTTGATGATACAACATGATTATTCACACCTCGATAGGAAAAACAAAGTACTAACCATTGCTGCACTCACTGAGTCAAGATTTTCATGATTAATCTCGGTAATAAAATTGTTTTTAATCGATTTCTTGTCCGCTGAACAAATTGTCAGCAGAAATCTGAAGTAATAAAGTATCTGAAGCGGAAAACTCGTAAGACACATCACAGGAATGAACTCCCAAGGATTTCTAAAACAGGCATTCACAATATAACACAAGATGACAGTATATTGGTCAGTGTTTAAAGATTCTTACTGAAGTTGACAATACAGAAAGCAACCTTATCAAACCATTCAGAATAAAAATAGAAATGACAACTTTTGGTATTTTTTAAAAGGTGTGTATGCATCTGAAATAGATTTTGAGGGATGCAATCTACAGTCTCTAACAATAGATCTGAGTTGTTCTGGACAGAACGCTTGCAATTCACTCAAATGGAGTTATTGAATTTTGGGATTGATGCTGTGAATTAGTTTAGCACTTCACTTTTCTAGATAGAAAACCTCACTGCGACAAAACATGGATTGAAAAACAGCGTGTCCACGCTACCTCAGTGGATGATTTCTAATCTTATCAGCTGGCTCATAAATTCCACCTTATACCCTCTACCTGACATCTAAATTTCTCGCCTACCGGTTGTGCTATACAATGATGTTATGAGAGTAATGAATGTCAGGTACATAAAACATCCGCAAGTCCCATCGTTTCAATGGGACTACTATAGTACAGCCTGTAGTAAGTACGAAAGTTTAGATATAGTAAGCAAAAATTCTTAGGAAGTAAACGAACTTTCCGTACACTCGTCCACTGATGGTGTAAAAGTATAGTTTTATTTACGTATGTATAAGAAGAGGAATAACCCAAGTATGTCAAACAATTGAACACACGATCGAGATTAAATAAATAGAAACATAAAACTGAATGGAAGAAATATACTTTCATCATAACCTTACTACGCAAGCTAAGACAAAACAGCCATTCAAACGCATAAAGAGATATCATAATACACCCCGCGTCAAAAAGTATTGACCTAATTTACACTCAGCACTTATTATTACTCAATTTAACATGACATCAGTACGCATACCACAATCCACATACCATAAAAGATTCAGGCTCACAAACTGGTCAAATGATTGAGCATTTCAGACTAAAATAGCAACTCACTTTTACAATACTTGGTCAGTCAATATTAACACAGAACCTGGTACATATACATAGTGACCCAAGTTGAAACACCTATTACCCACATATCGAATACATGTCAGTAAAAACCATATAGTGAAAGTCAAAGATTGTACACTAGCGTGAAACCATAGAACAGACAATGAGGCAAATGAAGAAACACTACAAAGAGAGCGAAACATGTTCCCTTGCGATCGATTCGAAACTGTATGATCGAGGTTCCCTGACCGATGATTTCCGTGGTCATAATCACAGCTAGGCAACCTATAAATTCCACATACAGCTCAAACCAAAGGTCATGGATTGGTAGTATGACTTGATATGCAGGTCTTTTATTTTCCCCTAACCTAATTTTACTTCTGCTAACATAGTACGTTGAGGTAGACTAAGAAGAAATGTGTAAAACACCAGATATTGGAAATTCATAACTGCCAAGAACCCACACACAAATTGTACATCGCTTATTCATTCGTTTTATCACACGTGAGAAATTATATGACAGTTACATCTAAATAATTGAATGTTCACCACCACTAATGACCGCGTTTCACACTTAAAAAGCAGAACAGTGCATTGATGGGCAGTAGGGTAGATCATTAGCGAAGAATTTAGCGTCACGCTTGCGCCACAAGCAGCCTAACCGACCGTGGCACATCAAAATACAACGGTTGATATGACTTTCCAAGTGATCGAAACAACTAACGCAGTCACTTCACTCCCTATAGCCCTTCGGTTGACATGTTCAGAACAGTCCTGAAACAATAATTTACATATGATAGGTGAAAAATGAAAACTAAATATTCTAAGGTTACTGTCCTGAAGACCATATCTTGTTAGAACTATGCTCAATATGACTGTCTCATTTTCAAACTAAAGTAAAGAAGTACGTCTCTATGAAAGATGTGACGAAAGACATCCGCAGACATTTAAGGTGTGCAGAAGCGCATGAGCCTTACAGATGAAAGACATATTAAAATGTCCTATTTGTGCTGATTTAATTTTGATGTAACATCTGGGAATGTAGAAACCTGAACCGATGTAAGATGCAAGGCTTTTTATGATGTAATACATAATATCCATAACTGATACATCCAATGACTCCTGGCACTTTATTCGTGGTCAACAATGATTAAAAATGTATAACTATAAAAACAAAAACACTGGAGACCATTACTATAGTTCATTTACCGCGCATTAACTCCAAAGTAACCCCAAGGATTTCATTAAGGTTGGTTTTGTCTACCAACCTTGTGAATTTGTCTTTGAGAGTGAGAGCAGCTTTTGCTTCGATGCTACTCATGAAGTGGACTGATTTCTTCGGGATGTGCCTGGATAAGAAAGAGCATTAGTGTTGCATGAAGGCAGAGCCCGGAGGATAACTGCTTAAGATCAGTCACACACGGCCTGTGAGAAATAGTTTTTGGAGTTGTCTGTATGGAAATCTCACCGCCGACTAGAGACTGTCGTTAGGCAAGGTAGGATGTACACTTTTCAGGACCGAAATTTCTCAAACCCTCAGCCCCAGGGCGGAGAGGCGTCATGACTGGCTTGTTCGTCACCTGGGTGAAACACCTTACTACTGTAGATAGGGTATGGATAACAGGTATTTTATCTTTGGTCACTATGCATTTGTGCTGGGTCCTACGTAAATAATGTCGATATGAATGTCCGAACTTGGACATCTAAGAAATCCTGTTCTTTGCAAGGAGTAGAAATTAAATTTGTACACAGGTTTCCGGAAGAAAAACAAGGATTAATGTGACAGAATATGTTGCTAATTCCATAAATATGGTTGGAAATAGAGGCACATTAAACTGAAACTATTGAGGTTGTAACCCCTTTTAAGATTTTTGAGTAAAACAGTTAGAAATAGTCTCACAGGGTATCAAAAATGAACTTGATTGCTTTTTTCTAGAAATAAGTCCCGTTATGCGGAAATAACTTCAAAACATAGCTGAACTGGCGCTCATGAAGAATAAAGGAACTATGGGTATAAATCCCGAGGAAATTTTCACCTTAAAAGCATATCAAGGAAGAATTTCAATATAATATTTCTCAGTGGCTGGGATGTTTTATTGATCTAATTTATCAAACGTGAAAAAGTAAGAGTAATCGTGACCCCCATAAATCAACCCAGTGGTAACAAAACACCGAACCTACGATAAAACAGTGAAATAAATGCTGATAACAAGCAAAAGAAACTGCTTATATTATAGAATGTAAAAGCCTGCAGAGAAATGGGCCGGTATAAGTTACCAACACAACCACGAAGTAATTAGCTACGGACTCACCAGAAAATATAATAATACAACATATATCGAGATTCACTAGCATACGGTTTGAATTAGCATGATCATTTAGTCAAGAAATTTAACATACAATTTAATAAAAATGATAATGCATTGAAGGTAAAATAAACAAACAAGGAGTAGAAGCTTACATTGAATATACAGCTACTTTAGTGAGTCACGGACGCTTGCTTTTCAATCTGAACAACTAAAATATATGACTGAACTTAAACCACATGTTGCTACGTTATTTGGATACAGAATAAATGTACCCAAATACTAGTTCACCCAAAAAATTAGTAACATGACATCCATTTTCAGTCAAATATATTACCCAGTGGAAGTGACAAGCTTTGCAACAAGATAAATGCAAAGTGTCCCAAGGAAATGCAAAAATGAAGTGTTGGAACCTACATAGGAAATTATGCCTATACATATGAAGTACTAGTAGGCTGATGTGTAAAACGTTTCAAAACTACGAGGTGAAGAACGTATGACTAAAATCACGACAGCAACTTCGAAGGCGAAATGAGATGAAAGAAAAAACTAAAACTCAAGAACATTTTCATAAGAAAAGGAAAAGCAAGTACTGCCTAATTAAGAATAAATCATAAAAACATTCTAAGCATTTCACATGGAGACAAGGACATGCTATGTAGCCAAAAATCACAAATTATTTGAGGAATTACCTTGGGTCAGGTAGTGCTATTCTTTTACTGGCACGGGCAGCAGGAGTAGATTTACTCATCTCCATAGCCATCAAATAGCTAACATCCGCCAGTACAGCTTCTAGATCCGCCATCTCAAAACGTTTTGAAATTTAATTTATTTATATATCCAAATTATGTATTTCAAATAGTAAACGTCCCAAGGTGTTGTCGAACATATTAGCGTAATGTTTCAAAAACAGCCATCATTACGACAATCACACATCGCGCCTATCGAAAATAGGTGAAAAAACAAACATCAATTTTCAAGGGGAATCCAAAACAGATGTCTGATCAGAACACCTCTATAACTAAAACACCTTCATAATCAAACCCTTTACAGCTTTGTGAATGACATGTGAGGTGAAGGGATAGTGATGGTACGGAATAATAATAAACGATCCGTTGATATACATCCCTCGAGAGTTTTCGGTCTTTGGAATACAGAATAGAAAGGGAGTGCTAATCGCTTCGACTAGAATATGAACTAAATGGTGAGAAGGTCAGTCTGAAACTTGTGATTTTTCAAATAGTCAGGTATGAGGAGCTAATAATTCAAAGACTTGTGCGTAAGGTTGGACCTTCCTTTGGCACTAAGGTAATATATCTTAATAGACTTAACACCGGGCTAGATTTATCAGCCCATCAGCTTAGGCTAACTGTTGCCGGTATAGCTGGAACATGGTTGGAATGGCACCAGTGAGTTTTCAGAATTCTTCTAGTGGCACGTCGACAAAGTCAGTTGTTGCGGGGGCGGTAAATTAAATCCGTGGTTTCAACACTCCTTCCATCTTTTCCTGGAAATCTAAGGCACACAGTGATGGAACACTTGAAACCATCACTTATAAGATCAATTTTAACGGTCACACGCTCTGCACTGGAGTTTTACGTCAAGTGAACAATGTGATAGCCCCACAGATACATTAATATTACATTTATTATTCCCTTGGATTCCGAGGGGAACGTAGGGCTTCAACAACACATCTCCGCTTTCTTGTTTTCTGCCATCCTCTTCAGCTGGGCCCACGATTGACCATAATCTCTTGTCTCCTCTTCGCATGATCTCTACCATATCACTCTCGGACGATCCACTCGTTACTTCCCATCCAGATTCCATTCGAGCGATGGCCTGCATTGCGTGCGATGTCATTCAATGGCCACCTCAGCGTATGCCCGATCCATCTCCATATTCTCCTACATATTTGTTGAGCAATAGGCCCTTAGTTGGTTTGTTCCCAGCCGCACTTTCTTGTCGCTAATTCCTTCTGGCTTGCCTGCCATTTGATCTTCAGCATGGAGCCAGCCAGGGAAGGGGGCAGCTGTTGACAAAAGTCTGTAATCTGTTGGAAATCAATTTCGTGACACGCAGTGCAAGTTTCTGGCCCATATAGAAGAAGCGACCAAGTTCACACTGGTGTCGAAGATCCGAATCTTGTTATTTATGCTAGGGAGTACAGTGCATAAGATTTCCAAACTGATTTTAGTTTGATGAAGGCGTATCCTGCCCTTCCTATTCTAGCTTTGACTTCTTCATCCGTTCCGACCACCTGTGGTTGAATCCGTGCTCCCTAGTTAAATGAAGGAAGTGACTTTTTCAAGTCCCCCCTTTTGATAGTGATCAGTGCTGTCTGTTGTTGCTGTTGATTGGTTGGTCATCTTTATCACCTCCGTCTTCTCCATGTTCACCTGGAGTCTCCTCTTCGCTGCCTGCCAGCCTCTCCTGCCAGTCTGCTGGTTTCCGCTTGCACATCTTCGAGTTTGTGTGACATTAAACATAAATCACCCACGCGCAAAATCAAAATCTTCTAGAGTCTTCTCATCGGTCCAACGTATTCCTGTCTTCTCACTCCCTGTGCACAGTCAGATGCATGATTCAGTTTACTACAATTAAGAATATCATCGGTGATAATAGGCAGCCTGGTCTTACTCCCGTATTCACTTCAAACACTCTGCTGAGTTTTCTGTTGTGGATCATCTGAGTCGTGGTATTGTCATACAGCTGCTGAATGAGGTAAATAGAGATTTGAGCACTGCATATCATAGTGCTGATGTAATTTCCAAATTAATTGTCTGTCAGCGCTGCGCTATTGTAGGCCTTTTCGAAGTCGATGAAGTTAAGGTACAGGCTTGACTACCATTCTATGATGACGATGTGTAGAGTAGTGATTTGATCAGCACATGATTTGCCTTTCCTGAATCTAGCTTCTTCCGTACTGGCGGAGTTCCGTATCCAGTGCATCTTTTATTCTTTCCAGGATGACGCGTCTCAGTACTCTACTTGGCGTGGACAACAGCATAATTCCACGCCAGTTCTTGCACACGCCTAAGTCCCCTTGTTTGGCAGCTTGACGAGGTAGCTTTTTTCCAACCGGTAGGTACCTTCCCTTCTTTCCAAACCTTCTGCAGTAATGGCATGACCACATCTGCGACAGTCTCTGGGTTCGTTTTCAGTGCTTTGGGGGGAATTCCGTTTGGCCCTGCTGCCTACCCGGTTGGCGTTTAGTAGCTTGATCGCAATCAGGATTTCTACTTTCGTTGGAGGATTGGTGCCCACTGTCAGGCAGTCCTGTGCGTGCTGTTGGTGGCGGTGGTCTTTCTGGGAGAGTTGCAGGCGGTGGTCGACTCAAGAGCCCTTTAAAGTGATCAGCCCGTTGACTTATTTGTTTCTCCTCCTTGGTGATCAGGTTCCCTTAAGCATCTATTAGTGGTTTCATCATCTGGCTTGATATCTTCCTGGATAGAGACCTGGTTTTCTGATATAATATCCTTGGGTCTCTTTTACCTGCCACCTGTTCTGCTTCAGTTGCCGGCCAGTGTTTCGTAGAATTTTCTTTTGTCTTTCCTAGCACTTTTCTTTTCTGCTTTACTCAGTGCAGCGTACATTGAACTCAGCTTCCCCTTCTGTTGTCCATCTTTGCATTGAGTCATTTTCTCTCTCACCATCCTCCTATCCTCTCTTCTATTAGCTCCCAGGTAGTTGTCCGTTCAGAGCCATTCCCTGTCGTGTCCCTTTTTTCTTGCTAGAATAGTTGTACACGTTTCCATGAACATTGACTTCAGAGAGTTCCAATGTTTTTCCACACAGGTGTCCTCAGTTATGCCGCGTAGTGTCTCCGACTTTGCTCTGATATCTGCAGTGAAGGCATCCCTTGTAGTTTTGTCTCCCAGTTTCTGAATGTTGAACTTGAATTGTGGTCTGTCTCCACTTCTTTTCAGGAATTTCAGCTTCATCTTAAAGGTTCCTAGAACTAGATGATGATCTGAGCCAACATCTGCTCCTCTTCTCGACTTTGTATCCAGAAGGCTGCGTCTCCACTTCCTTGAGGTTGATATGAAGTCTATTTGGTTTGAGGCATGTCCGTCAGGCGAAATCTATATTGTTTTGTGTATATACTTGTACTTATACACGCTGTCTCCATTCACCAAATCATTGAAAGCGCAGAAGTCTGCGAATAATTCTCCGCTCTCATTCGTTTCTCCGGGCAATAGCCTCTCGACCTATGATGAGTTCTCTTCCTGTTCCCAGTTTGGCGATCATATTGCCAATAAGGATTTTGATGTCAACACTCGGAATGTTGTCCTTCCTTCTTTCTTCTCTTGTCCGCGTTGTTTGAAGCACGGTGCGAAGCATTGAATAATTGTGAACTTCCTTACTGTTGAGTTGAATCTTGCTATTATGATCCTGAGGGATGAAATTGGTTCCCAGTTCATTTGCGCTTAGGCTGCCGCTGGCGAAATCCTTATAGCTACCCCTCGGTGTGTTCGTGGTTGTAGTTTGGGTGACCGGAGTAGATTACTGACTTACCAGCTTACAATTTTAGCAGTCCACGTCCATTCCATTTGCTCTCGCGGATATTTAGCACTTGGATAATTTGGCAGCATTTCCAGCCACGTTGTTGAACATAAATTCCACGTCGCCATTCTTATTTTGTTTAATTGAGAGGAGGTACATCGGCCAGATGACTGGTTTCTCAAAGGCTGTCCCATCTCACGTCATTTCGCCCGTGAACTATATAACTTTTGTCCGACGGTGTGCGGTGATACTTTAACTCGCCAAAAATTCAATTAAAAAATCTCAAACTTATATGAATATATTTTTAACAAAATATTTGCATTCTTTGATGTCTTACTAGCCTAGAAAAAGGCGTGAAGTCAAATAATCAATACGTCAACAATGTTTTGTAGAGAGCGCTCAAATTGCCAAGGTCATCTAACTGTAGTTTGCTGGCCAGTTACCTCACCGACGTCTTAAAGTTTTGTTTCTGATCTTCCTTATCACTCAACTTTAATGTGAGGATAATCTATAGCAGCCATTAAACGACTTTGTGCGTCGGTGGACGCTGACCATGCACATGGTCTGGGGTTCGACCTCTGGCCGACGCACAGATGATGCCAATGGTCGGCCTGCTAAATTCGGGCTTCCGATATCATATGCTGAAAATTCTATACTTGTACCAAAATACTGTGTGGAATCAGGGTATAATAAAAATAAATAAATAAGAACATACTATGTAGCTAGTTCTGAATGCAGTGTAAGCTTTATCTCAAGAATTTTCTGACTTATTTGCTTTTGGTTAGATTAAAGTTAGGGTGAGATTAGGGTTGTGTGTTTACAGTAAGGCCAAGTTTAGCAAAAATGGTTGGACTAGGGTCGTGATTTGGAATTAAGTTTTTGATTAGGGTCATGATTTAGGTTTATGATAAGGGTTTGGTTTAATTGTCATACTTAACACCCTACAAATCTGAACATACGGTTTGTTAACAGACTCCGTGGTTTTTCTTTCCTCTATTAGGACTGTTTGTTCAAAGTCGTCTGGTGGCTACTATGGTTTATTTTCACCCAGTATCGTGCTGAATGATGGACGGAGGACGCTGATCCTCCTTGTAAGTTACTTCCACAATGGGCCAACTGCTAAAGAAGCAGATGAAGGCACGTCAGGGGCAAATGTTAATTTTTTCCTTTACCATCCCTTGCAATTCTTTCTTTCGCTCTCGAACTCATACTACTCACCACTAGTATGTAGTATGAATTTATATTTGTTACTTCATAACCGTAACTCTTTGTTTGCTATTGAAGTTCAACTTACTTAACATATTGATACTCTCTTTGACATGCGGTGGTTATTTTCTTATATTTGGACATTGTCTGCCGTATGTGCGTTATATATATATACTTTTTGTGAAAATGAGGACAAAGCCAATCACAAGGTGTTTCCGCGCATAGCATAGCATATGTCACAGC